CGTATGGTTAAATAACAATGTAAAAATAAATAGTTTAATTGAGTGATAATTTTGAAAAACATTTAGTTAACGTCACGTACGAAATTAGTGACGTATTTTAACTTAAAGTACAAAACAGTTTATGTAAGATTTTGAACAGAATAAAGTTATAATTTTATATTCTTCCCTCCCCCCCCTACCCCACAGTTAATTTGAATATTCCAAATGTTCCAATAATAAATAAACGCAATAACAAGTAACATATTTAACTAAACTTTCGAGTTTCGACTTTCACTGGTACTACTACTTTAATAAATACAACGTGAGTAGCACATTTCAATCATTACTACAATCATTATTAGTATTTAACACGACACCTCATCGACGACATTTTCACTTGCCAACTTTTTGCAAATCCCTCAACAACACTTTAATGTTGTATAACACAAAAATAGTATAATCCCATATGATTTGTCCTCAAATTTGACATTATACTAATAATAATAGTTTTACGTGATTTTGATTGATAATCGTTATTTCTATATTATAAATACATGAATTTTTTTTATTGGTGTTATTTTAATTTACAATATAATATGTATGTATCAAATTACAATAAAACCTCCCCTAACAGATACTTCTAAATCGTGGTCACTTCAGAATAGCGATCAAAGATTCAGTAACCGACAGTCTCTGATATTTATATTAGATTATTATTATATAATTTATATATTAAGCTGTCGAAGTAAGTTATTAATACATTTTTATAAAAAGAAAACGATTAACTTTAAACAATATTATAAATTCTATTTATTAAAAGTTTTATCATATTAAAAGTAGAATTATTTATGTTTCAATTTATAAAAATAAAATCCTTTGTATGTTTGATAAACCTAATGGATGTGTATTCAAGAGGTGTGGTGTTTTTATTACAGATAAGAATGTAATGAGAAACGAATATTTTAAATAAAATTGTATTGAATTTTTTACAACATTTTTTGTTTAGCCATATAAACATTATATACCTAATTTTAATTTAGTTGAATGTAGAAGTTTAATTTTTAAATCTTAATTAAATACAAATTATAACCTAAAGACATTCATTATCTATTAGCAATTAGTTGGTTTTTGTATATTTTGAGAATAATATTTATCTACCTATATACAGCTTAAAATACTATATATTTTACTAGATAATCGAATTATTAGTATTTTTATTCTAGCAATTTTGAGAATATTTATGTTTTCTTAATACACTTAATGATTACTTATATTTTTAATTGTATATCGTGGAATATAAAGTATTTTTTCTATTAACTTCAATATATACACTAAACATCGAGTATACTGTATACCTACATTATAGTATATATCTGGACTAATTAGTTATCGATAATAATATGTCAAGGTTTAGAAAATTGAAACACCGCCTATTTCGAAAAGTATCTGAATTTAGAATGCTAAGAAATTAATAATAGTTCAATATTTTTTCTGGGACCCCACCCAACACATGTTCAGTGTGACCCATTATCTTCTTGAAAGATACATAAAAATAAAAAATAAATATTTGATAATAATCTATACATGAATCAAAGGATTAAACTTTAAATTATTAACTTAACGACACAAATTGTCATTTAAAATAATTAAAAAACGTCAAATCTATTAAAAGAACTTGTTTTATTTTTAAAAAAAGTAATGGCTCAACCTTAAAATAATTAAGTTTTTTTTTTTATAAGATTCATAAATTGACCAGAATCCTGCAGTCATTAAAATCATTATTTAAACGGGCATTTATGTATTACGAAAAAAATATATAAAAAATTGGAAACAAAATAGTTTTACCTAACTACATAAGTGAAAATAACGGCTGTAGTAATTTTTTTAATACGTATTTTAAAATGTTTTGAAACTATCCATTGAAACTTAAATGACATCTATTATATATATCTATTATATATCTTCACATGACATCAAATATTCAGCTTGGTTAGGTGATCTATTTGTGATTCGATAAAATCATTATTAAAGTGGGGCATAAAATAGCACAAATATTATAACTTGCAAAACATACTCGTACTTAAACTGTATTAGGTCGGATAAGTTCAAAGTTTAAAGTATAAAACTCGTATATGGTTGTGTATTATGATATTATTGTACTGTGCTCTAGCACAGTACTGAAGTGTCAATATTTGAGGATAAATATTAGAAATGAAATTATTATGGTGTATGATAATTGTTCGTGTAATATTATTATGTAAATGAATTCGATTTCTGCTGTGTCATAGAGTTATATTATATTGTTGAGTTTAAAAATAAAATTGAAAGTGTAACATTTTTATAGATGGCTATAACACGATGTTTTACATGTAGGTATTAATATAATAAATTGATCCCATTATTTTATATTCTGTCTACACTCATGTAAGAGAAAATATACATTTTCAAACCACATCTAATTTGATTTGACTATTTAAAAAAAAGAATTTATTTATGATTATCCTGGTCGACCCTCTTAAGAATATATTATAAGTATTTATATAGCTAGACTATAGGTATCTAGATAATAAACAATCGTATTATTGTTACATGAAATATATAATCTATATTATATGTACTATTTATATTAATTCAAGATTCGAAGCCAAAATATTTTAAAATAAATTGTTTTTTAAGTGTTCAGACAATATTATTGAATACTTATATCCCCAATTATATGATTAGAAAGTATAAACTGAAAACATTAAGGATTATTGTAGATATAGATGCAGATATGGTATTATCTTAACGACAGTTTTGGAATTGCATAGTGTATAGTTTTCATCTTATTTCAAATACAACAAAAAAAGTGCACCTAATAATAGTGTAAAACAATAATTCCAGTGGTAGTTTGAATATAAAAAGCAACAGTAAGTATTGATTTGAATGAATACAATGTATACAAAAAAAAAGACTTTAGGTATGTAATTTAATGAAAATAATTTAGATATTTAGATAGAGTCTCATTAATATCGCCTTTGCATTGTATAAAGCAGAATGTTCGTCAAAAAATGAATTCATCTACATTCTATAAACGAAAAAATGAAAAAATTGTATACTTTCACGTTCGTATTTTTCAAATGAACAGTCATGTTTGAATTGAACGGCTTCATATGGTCCTTCGTGAACCGTAGGTCCGTAGCATAATTAGTTATTTGTACATGTTTCCAACTCATTATATACCAACTATATCATCATTATCATCTATGTCAATAAAAACGTTATATTAGTTGATTTTTACACATATTTCTTGAAACTAATGTAAAAGATATAAACTTGTTAATAGCTAAAACTGTATTTAGTTTAGTAGTTTTTGCAATCACATATCGTTTGAGAATATTGTTCATTATTTTATTTTCCTAATTGATAATTTTATCTCTTTTAATAGGAAATTTAGTGGTGCTTGGTACATATAGCCGGTATAAAAAAGCGAACTGTAAGTAAGGAAAGTGAACAGAGAGGAAAGTTCGAAGTAATCCTTTACTCCTCAGCCATCCTTGTTATGTGTTGTTCATCACTTTACAAAGGTCAAAGTAATTTTAGTAATTTCCGCTAACTTATTTTGAAAACAATTTGTAAAAAAGCGAAACATAATTAAAATTATACCTAACAACTTAAAAGATTTAAATTTGATAAAAAAAATATCAAAATAAACTCAAGTTAAAACTTTAAACGTTCAAAGAAATGTTTTGCAATGAACGCGTTGTTGTCGAATACCTACTACAGGATAATATTATATCATAGTGCTATGAGGGTTGTAAAAAGATGATATTATAGAATAATGTGAAAAATAACTACAATTCTAAACAATAATTATACTTTATTTGTTGTATTTAAAATGATTTATACATATAAGACATTAAAGGACTCGCCCTTTAATAACCTTTTAAAACAATTTTATGCTGAATGTTGAAATAGTATAATTAATATTGTAGAAAATAACTCTTTGTTTTACTTTTTAGTTTAGTTTTTAGCTATTTAAGACGTAACATACACCATTGTATATTTAGCTATAAGCACAATGCTTTAAATAAACTCTACTCAATAGTTATAATTATCCTTTGACTTGAATAATAGTATATGTTTAACGTTGATTTATAAAAAAAAAATTAAAAACCTCAGAAAATTCAATATCTGACTAGGTATTAACTGTTCTGCAAAAGAAAATAGTATACTTATAATCTCGTTTTATTCTCATAAGACTGATATTGCAACGGATGATTGATAGGTTTATTGTGTGTATAGGTATACCTATATTAATAAAAGTGGACGCCCAAAAAATATTATTATTTGTTATGAAAAATACGACTAACGAGGATGATGCCAACCAAACCGCTTGTATACCTTTATCAAAGTATTTTTATAGATATAAAAGTTACATATTATTATTTATTACACACGAGATTATTCTCATGGTGTGTATTAGACTAGTATGTCTGCGTACATAACATTTTCACTAAATCTTTGGAACCCAACACTATTCTAGACATTTAAATCAACGGACACGTTGACAACGACATCCAAATATCCAATCACCACAAGAACCCATCGTAATACAATGATATCCAATAATATAATGACGACATGAATATGGTGTAGTTATAATACAGTTATGAACTGTGAGTATGATGTACAGTGGCGTTTGCGTCGTGCGGCATCGGCGAGGCGCGTCAAGACTCGCGCGCGCAATGCCGAGGCGCGCGTGACGTCATGCTCGTCGGCGAACACGGCCGTGACGTCAGCGTGCCGTACGCCCGCGGACCGACGAAAACCACAGCCGCCGCGCGTTTCGTTTACGGAGTTGTTGCCTTGGGTTTTCCGCCTACGGACACCATCGGCTCTGTGCGGCGGCACCGTTCACCGGTCGCGCCGCATAGGCAACGGCCGGCCGGTCGGTCGGCGGCCACACGCACAGCCGTCGCGGAGGACCGGCCGTCGCGTAAAAAGTCCTCGGCGCGCACACCCTATCCGAACGGCGACCAGAACGCCAACAGGTGCGGACGCGCGCGCACATGAAATTTGTACCTACGTAATATTATTAATATCGCGCGTATTTGTCATTATACCGCCGCTGCGGTTGTCCGCATGCACGCGCGCAACGCGACCATAATAATATAATATTATCGTCTCGTCCGTCGCGTATTCCACGTGGACTGCAGTGCCGTCGTCGTCCACAGACCGCATTATAAGTAGTGTATACATACATACGTGTGCGTGTGTGTGTGTGTGTGTGTGTGTGTGTGTGTGTGTGCGCGCGCGTGTGCGTGTATGTGTGTGTGCGTGTGTGCGTGCGTACGTTTTGAATCTTCTTCTTGCAGTACCCCCCCCCCCTCCCACCGCTCTCGTTCACTGCTGCAAACATAGACGCCGAGTCACGCACCCGCTCGTAGTTTTTTTTCGTCGATAATATTTTGTTTTCGAATTTTCGTTTACGCTTGTCGTTCGGTCGGTCGACGAGGTGCGTGCTCGCCGTCACTGTACATTATAATTAATACGCAAAATAGGAGTCTTGTTATAAACACAATATACTCTATATGCACAGCTGCTCATTAGACGATAATACGCGTGGTCTATCCGATACACGCGACGCGGGTGCCCGATGGTCGGCGGGTGACGGTGGCCATGGTTGTCACCGCGGACGTGAGACGGCGAAGTTGCGCGGGCTATGAAAAAGAATGTTGGCGGCGACGGCGGAGGCGAACGCAAGTCCCTGCGGAACAGGCGCCGGCGGGGGTTGGACGGTGACGGCCGGCTGCCATCTCCACCGGCGCCTCCGCCGCCGACCGTGGCCACGGCCACCGTCACCAGCGGAGCGCTGCACAGACTTCAGGCGGTGTCGGCTGCAGCCGCGTCTTCGTCGGTGGCGGCAGCGGCGTCGGTGGTTGAGGTGGTTGACGGAAGGGATTCCACGGCGGCCGTCGCCGCGACCGCAGTGACGGACGATTGGCTATTCGCCGATTGGTTGGACGGCAGTGGAAGCGGAGGTGGTGGTGGAGGCACAGTTGCAACAGGTACGTACAACCACTATATGCTATAATTCGCGTTTACGACCATCGCTATATCCCTCAAAACCCGGACACCCCCTCTTCCTTAATTTATAACGGTACCGAACCCCGAAATGCGCGTGCGATTTTGACGACGACGACGATGACGAATAAACCCTGGAAATGTGACAATACCTACGTAATACCGTATACGCACGAGTCCGACGTAATAATATTATTATAGTTAAATATAGGTACGTTATAACATTAAACAATGTTTGGAAGATAAGGTAACTTTTACTATTAATAAGTACTATATCGTCTATATCAATACCTATAGAAACGCGAACGATAGCATATAATATGAGTGGAGCGTGTCTATCAATGGAAGATGGTTTTCATAAACGTTAGTACGTTATATCAAATGTATCATCATTGCTGCATACTACAATAACAAGTCATGATCGAATCTAATTCGTCCATTGTATTACAACCATTTTGAAACAGTAATTTGCAGTTACTTTTAATTACATCTTGATGGATATATATTTTAATTACATACTTTTTTTGAAAAAAAAATGTACATATTGGGTATTTAGATAGGTAATTATTGGATTTGAAAACGGTGATTTTTTTACCAATTTTAGATACTATAGAGGTAACGAAAATATTATGTGAGGTACCTGTATCTGATTTGTTTCTCTTGCAAGTTGAAAACGGATCAACAAGAGAATTCGTTGTGGATAAACGATTCATATTTAATAAATTAAACTATAATTATAACAATAATTAATATTTTTTTTTATTATTCTGTATCTATACCCAATTAATTGTTGAGATATAATAACTTTTGGTTAGAAGCTAATAAAAAATAACAGTAATCATTATAAATTATTTGTTCATTAATAACTATTGCAAACCAGCCACTGCGTATATTAAATCTGATTTCATGTAAGATAAATAGAATAATGAACCATATGACTATATACATTCTAGAGTATATTATACGAATTAAGGTACACATACCGTACAATAAATATTACTGCTGTACATTTACAGTTCATCGTGTAAAGTTAATATAAATAAAATATTTTATTAGAATGTCTCAGAAAACCATTGATTAATTAAATGTCCATACACGGAAATAAACTTAATATGATTATATTACTACTTACTAATACTTAAAAAATAATCAAAATTTAAAAATCTTTTGAAATATTATTTTGTTAAAAATATGAAGTTCATGTCCTCTTATAATAGGAAATTATGTAGAACTATTATAACGTTAAGGACTATATTAACCATAAAATCCGTTACACTGTCAACTAAAGTCTAAAAGTCAGTCGTTATGGGCGGTTATTAGCTCGAGGGACGTTTTATCTCAAGCTGAGTATGGTGTATACTGATTGATGAAATTTCCACGTACAGATAATATCGTGTACGCATTATATTATAATATATTTTACGTATATTCTTCCCTTCGGGGCTCTTGTATACATAAATACACCACAAGCGTGCGCACGAGCAAAACATAATTATAATTACTGGTATTTATAATTGATTATGGCATCGGTGAGTGTACTTCGATTTGTAAATAGCTCTGAAACCGCTGGCGGGTGTATTCGCGAGTTTGTTTTTTTCCTTCACGTCAACCAGATGAGTCAGCTCTATTGGAAACTTAGTCTTTTAGATTTTACGGATGTCCATTTCGATAAATCAAAAAAAAGAAGTAGAAATAATATCGATATTTTAAAATGACAAGTCTTATTCAAACTTTACTGGGTAGTTTGTGTTCCACATTATCACAGAGTCATCGAACAATATTCTACGACACTGTCACACTAGCTGTTTAATGTATATAGATGTATAGGTAATTAATTACTTATTTACTCTCATCGGAAATGATTTGTCTGTATGTACAAAACACAATACTAGATCGATTCATTTTAAAATACACTCATCCCGCTGTATCGAAAAGTTTCCTCATAACAACATGATCTATACTGTACACAATCAATACAATTTAAATGAATACATTTGACAGTAATATGTAATAATATACATCAGTAGGTATAGGTTTAAATGTATAATAACTTTGATATAAAAATGTAGTGACGATTATTTGAAATTTACAATATTGTTACTTGAATATAATTAAAGTCAAAGCATTATTGAAAAATAAAAAAAGAGAAAGTTTGTTATTATATTTAATAATTAATTGGTTGTTTCGTTAATGTTACCACACTTGTAAATACGGTTTTATGGGATTTACCACCTTTATTAACCCTTTATTGTCTATACTCTATTGATAAGTTTATTATGCGAGTAGAAAATACGTAAATGTACACCACACTTAAGGCCTTACAAAAATTTTAATATTTAAGTAAATTACAGTTTCTCTATCTATTCAATTGTACAAGACCTATTTTGATCAAACCAAATATTTAATATAATATTAATTTTTCATATTTATATTCGAATTATTTAAATATAGCTTAAATACATCAATAATTAGTCCAAAAATCCACTCAGAAAGTTCAGCACATAATATAAAAGAAACCATCACGTTTTATTACAAACGTTTTTTTATACCTTAAAATAATGATCAGTGGTAAAAATCACTGTATAAAATATGTCAACCATGCCGTAAAATTGAATACTTCAACAGTATATTTTCCAAAATTAATTTCGTATACAGACATATACAGTGTAAAGCAAAAAAACGCATTCAAATAATATGCTTTATAACGCAATAATACATATTTAGATACGCACAAGCGACCAACACAACTAAACTCATAATACATTAATAATCATATTAATATTAAATACACAATTTACTTACGATTTGTGACACATTTATTGAAAAAATCGAAAAATCATCACATATAAGTGCATGAATATTATAAATATTTAAATAACGTTGTACAAAAGTATTTTTGACTGAAAATCTAAAAATAATATTATCAATAGAATGGACATTTTTTAGATGTTCCTTCATTATTCAATAATATAAAGATTTAATAATATAGAGAGGAACCCTACGGTTTTCGGAGGCCCTGAGTTAGGTTTGTAAAGTTAGAACAACATCTCGTTTTCGCAAAACATTCATAAAATAAAAGAAAGAAACAGGTATGGCCGTGTATAGCTTTATATGGAATTGCGATCAGAGGGCCAGTAAACCCAAGGTGTCCCGAGTGGGCGACATTATAATAATAATAATAATAAAAATAATCGGAGGTGCACTATAATAATTGGTTTACATATTCAATTTAATAGTATTTCCTAGTGTGGATAGTGGTTAATTAAAAACATAATGACGATCCGGTTCTTAGGGAGAAGTTTACCCAAACAGTTTTGCGAAGAAAAGAAAACAGTGAAACCATCATAAAATTCTCACTGCAAAATGTATCTTTTCTAAAAATCTTTTGGAAAAAATAACACTTCCTGAATTGGCCCCATCATACTGTATTGTAAAGGTCTCAACATTTTGAACAACGATATTTGTATGTCCAAAAATAAAATCATTAAATATTGTCAAACTGAAAAATAATTGAGTATTATTACCACAAAAAAACGTTAAGTATAAAAAATTATAATAAAACCAATCGATATAGCCAGCGACAGCGTAAATAGCTGTTTAACATTTAATTACATTTCGTGTAAAATTGGGGGTGGGTATCTCAATGACTCCAGGCTCTAGGACCTAGAGTCTAGACGGCTAGACTAGATTTACAACTTATACTCACATTATACGACCCGTGTATAAAATGTGTGAACAATTGGTGGGTATGTACTTATTTAAGGTAGCTGCTTTATAGGAAAAAAGTTCAGGCCACCCCTAATATAGCAGTGTACCAACTTACAACGTTTACGTAAACTCAAGCACTAATAGTAAAATACTTCAATTAATAATTTTTTCAGTACAAATATTGCTCTATTCGCGTATGCAGAAAAATATTGTAAGTGATTATTTTTTTCGGTTTAAAATGATTTTATGAATCTAGAATAATTGTATAAGCCATATGATATATTATATCATATTAAAAAAAATAATCAATTCAATATTAGAATCCATATTTTTTATGTACATATATTATAATGTAATAAATGAACAGTGTTTACTTTTAGTCTACAGATACCTCCTACCTGATGACTGGATGTGGTTATTTATGTTTTTTTAAATAAAGTATTGAAAATGTACTATATTCCAATAATTCAAATCTCATTCCAATGTCTATACGATTTCCGGTCTTTGTATTCAGGCTCATTTTAAGAAGCGCATAAAGGGCATTTTCTCCGCGGTATTTCAGTTTAGTAAATTTGTAGGGTACTGCCAAATATCAATTAATAATTAATAATTCATCATCATAAATTGTTGAAAAAAAATTTCACTATTATTGACATAATAATTTACACTAAAGACTACTTCATGCTACCAATAAGTAGGTAAATATGGTTCTATAATTTCTAGCCCTAAATCCCAATTATTTGAGCTGCAGCGTCTAACGCCCATATCGTGATATAATTTGTACCTAGAACTTATTCAATTTTATTTTATTGATAATAATTACATTTATATGAAGTATGATTCTAAAATATTTAAATCCATCAATTTATGGGAAAAAATAAGAAAAATGTTATTATTTAAATATTGTATCATTGATGTACCTATAAGAAATAAACGTATAGAGGGGATAATTATATCAAATGTTTTTTCATTCAAATATTATAGGTACGATGTACATATAGTCGATACCACGAAGCATATAGTATATATATGAAACAATAATTTATAAAAAAAATAACGACTATGTTAAAAAATGTACGATTATATAAGTTACAATCAACAGGATGCTATACCAATCGGAATTTTCTATTTAACCGGAATTGGTGTAAAAACTGTATAAATAAATTATAACGTTTTGTTTCACCAGCGTACACGATGAGATTAATAAACGTTCTTGGCGTGAGCTTATATTAATTCAAATAATTTACTATAGCCAGAATATAATATTATGATGATT